GGCTGACGGCGCCGCGAGGAGAAGGGTACCGCGGGACGGATCCTTCAGGCACCGGAAGCCCACTCCCGCCTCTATAAGCGTGCTGCCCAGAGCTACCACCAGAGTAGCCACGGTAAGCTCGGTTGTGCCGGTAGGGTTTGCCGGCCAACACTCGGAACGACCGATCGTCGGTATGAAGGATACGGAATCTCGACTTCGACTGCTCGTGCTAGGCAGCCAGCGTAGTTCGAAACGACGACGCCCGAATTTTGGAGAGCCACCCAAGAACAGGCGGGCGCATCAAAAACAATTTCGGTGGAGCAGCTACACACCTCCAGAAACGACGAAGTGTCCCCGGAAATTGTGCATCGCCAGGGTCGTATTCACCGCCTAAACTTGTTTCACTCAGAAACAGATCCGAATCGATCTGTTGGCTGCATACCTCCTACGTGACAACGCTAAGCTGTTGCCTAAACAAAATTCCATCCTCATCGCAATTGGCTTGACCATCCAGTCCCCCCGCTTCGACGGCTTGACGGAACGCCCAGAGGGTCGCGATCAGCTCCAGAACGATTCCGGCTGTCAAGCATTCCCCAGAAATTAACAGTCCACGACTGTATTCGATAAAGTTACACTATTAAACAAGTCAGCGCTGACTTGTCTAATGGTGTAACTTAATCGAATAAAATATATGCTCAGAGCTCATTTGCACCCGGCTGGATCGCATATTTGGGGTTTATGGCTTGAATCTCCGGGGACGGACCCCTCGCCAGGCGCTGATTGAAAAGAACATAATGGTGCTTGGGAAAGTGAGTAGCCGTGATTCAAACCCGTTCGTGAAACTTTTGTCGCCAATTGTTAAACCATTTGTCTAGTCAGCGCTGACTTTGTAGTCAAATGGGTAAGCGACAATTGTTAAACCATTTGTCTAGTCAGCGCTGACTTTGTAGTCTAATGGGTAAGCCTTTACCAATCGAAAGATACACTCTCGGCTCGTAGAATCCCGGGCTGTGAGTAGAGATCTCCGGGGACGGACCCCTCGCCAGGCGCTGATTGAAAAGAACATAATGGTGCTTGGGAAAGTGAGTAGCCGTGATTCAAACCCGTTCGTGAAACTTTTGTCGCCAATTGTTAAACCATTTGTCTAGTCAGCGCTGACTTTGTAGTCAAATGGGTAAGCGACAATTGTTAAACCATTTGTCTAGTCAGCGCTGACTTTGTAGTCTAATGGGTAAGCCTTTACCAATCGAAAGATACACTCTCGGCTCGTAGAATCCCGGGCTGTGAGTAGAGATCTCCGGGGACGGACCCCTCGCCAGGCGCTGCTGGAAAAGAACTATGGTGCTTTTTCGTAAAGTGATCAGCCCGGGATTTGACTTCGCTAATGGTGTAACTTTATCCAATAGACTATACGATTGGTAAAGGCTCACCCATTAGACTACTCAGTCAGCGCTGACTAGACAAATAGTTTAACAATGGGCGACAAAAGATTCACGCACGGGTTCGAACCCCGGCTACTCACTTTCCCAAGCACCATTATGTTCTTTGCAGTCAGCGCCTGGCGAGGGGTCCGTCCCCGGAGATCCAAGCCGTAAACCCCAAAAATGTGATCCAGCCGGGTGCTAACGAGCTGAGCGTAGACTATATCTTTTATTGGATAAAGTTACACCATTATTCTAGATAAGTCAGCGCTGACTAGACAAATGGTTTAACAATTGGTGACAAAAGTTTCATGCACGGGTTCGAACCCCGGCTACTCACTTTCCCAAGCACCATTATGTTCTTTGCAGTCAGCGCCTGGCGAGGGGTCCGTCCCCGGAGATCCAAGCCGTAAACCCCAAAAATGTGATCCAGCCGGGTGCTAACGAGCTGAGCGTAGACTATATCTTTTATTGGATAAAGTTACACCATTATTCTAGATAAGTCAGCGCTGACTAGACAAATGGTTTAACAATTGGTGACAAAAGTTTCATGCACGGGTTCGAATCCCGGCTACTCACTTTCCCAAGCACCATTATGTTCTTTGCAGTCAGCGCCTGGCGAGGGGTCCGTCCCCGGAGATCCAAGCCGTAAACCCCAAAAATGTGATCCAGCCGGGTGCTAACGAGCTGAACGTAGCTGACTTATTATCTAGTCTAGATCTAATGGTGAACCTTTATCGATTAGACTGCTCCGGCCGCTAATGTCACCGCGATCAATTCCACGGCAGCATGAAATTCGTCCCAATACGTGCCATTTGCCATTGGCGGCGTCGCTCGTATTATCTTGTCTCCCATCGGTGCTGTTGTTACTCTTCTTGGACGGTGACAGGGCGACAGAAGCTTCTTCCATATGGCAGCCTATTGTGCCCGCTCTTTTGTAACAGATTGAAGGGCGTTCATAAGCAACATGGTCAGGATAGTCTATAGACTATATGAAGAAGAAGTTTAAAACAAGATTTCATGGGAATATATCTCATATCGGGAGAGTAGTCCCCCATGCCCGAGCGCTGTCAAATACCGTCCGGTGACCTGGCGACAGTCTTGAAGAAAGAGCACCCAAAGGCAAAAACCTCATACGCTCCCACCTAGCGAGGTCCACGCTGGCACCGCTGACATTTCATCTTGATAAAATTTCGGGGCGCGTCTCCGGAAAAACTGGTCATGCCTCCTGAAGGTTTCTCCTTGACCCTGCTCTTGGTGTGACGTACCTTTTGCTCAGTGCTTTGTGGTCTGCAGCTGTTCGGCATCATTTGGCAAAGAAAGATAGGCCGCCATGTTCACTGCTGTGAGGGCGGAGCGCCGCCCAACCGCTGCCGGTGTCCCCGGTCCGTCTGGGGGCGCTGAGTGGGGCAAAATGACGCTGCATTTATCGCGATGGTGTTCAACTGAACAGGCATCCCACATCAAACGTGCGTCTTCTACTGGAGGGTGGGCGTTCATGCCCAGACTCACCTCTGTAAACCACCTTGAACGTTCTCTTCTTCTCCAGCCTGCCTCAGTTCGCCCCCCTGACAACATACGGGGTACAATACAATGTGTAGCGTGTGGTCTACTCCCCGACGCCCCGGGGTTCGCTTGGATCTTTATCTCCGCCCGAATGACTCCGCTCGCCAGGTCGAGGAGTTGTCCGAGAACGTTCGGTGGATCGCTACCGGGATCGCGGGACTGTCGCTTTGGGATTTCGGATCCGAGCGGTGTACCTGACCCGCAAGTCTATACTTGCTGTGAATTTGCATGCTGCTTGCGTGTGGGGTTTGGGGTTCGGGGGTGGTTTAATGAGGAAGCAACGTGTTGAGAAGCACAATAACCATCTCAACACAACGACTTCAAGGAGTTGGGGGGAGTACACTTCAAGCAGTCATTGTCGGCACCCGCGTAAGGCGACAACAACTGGGGGCACCATCATGGGAAAACCTGCTTCTGCGTGTGAGAACAAAAAAAAGGCGTGTGCGTGCCGCCACCGCTCGCGCCCCCACAACGTCCCCGCCATACTTGTTTGCAAATACGGTCCAAATCTTCCCGAGGGACGATCCAATGCTATGTATTCAAAGAGTTGTGCTGCATCCCTTCCATATTATCGCGAGAGATGTCTGGCTCAGCAGTTTATTGTGTACTCCGAGTAGGTTGGCCTTTCGCGAACCGCTGACGGGTTGAAACGGTTCTCTGGAAACTTGGGAACACTGTCTACTACTGTAGCCCGAAGGGCAATGGGAAATTTGGTCGTTGCGGTGTGATGATGTACATTTCTCTGTGACAATATAGTCTATGCACTCACCACTCGACGTGACGATATAGTCTATGCATTCACCACTCACTCGACACACCTGACTCTGGTATCTACGTACAACATATGACAACGAGTATATGACGACCGTTGAGCACGATGATTCTGAGAACAACGGCGGAATTGTTTTATGCATTTGGACACTCCTTGGACACTCTAGCTAGATTGGACGCGGGATCGGTGTGGTTTTGAACTGCATCGTTAGAAGCGTCAGAGCTCTGAGGGGGGAGTTGGCGAAGACACCAAGCAAAAACCAGCATCTACATGCAATGGCAAGGCAGCTTGTGGCTTCGCTTCACCCTTCGGCACTCATAACTCCAATTTGAACCATTGGGTTTGTGTTTGGTGTTGTTGTGGACCAGCGGCCAAACTAATTACCCCCGTGTTCTAGAATGGGACCAGAACGATATGAGCGTGTTCGTGCCGTTCCAGGCAAGCATTGTAGCCACCAAGTGAGCTTTTTCGGGCCAACCCAAAGCCTCATATACCAGGGAAGACAAGAAAGCATCACGCCATCAATTTGGCAGCCAACCAATGTGCAAATCAATTTTCAACCTCCCCCCATTCTAGACTTAAGTGGGTTGGCGCTGTTGGCAAAGCGCTGTAAACACGCCACCCCAAATATAGACTATTAGCACCCATAGTATGCGCCACCAAAGACGCGTGACGCATGGATGAGTGGAGTGAGGATAGCTTACGGAAACCTCACAGGTTGAGTGATGTAGGAGATTGCCGGACACATAGACGTGTTGAGTGATTTCAGCTGTATACTGAAACCCCAAGGGTTGAGTGAGGTCTGAGATTGCCAGACACACCGACGAATTGAGTGGGGACAGCTGCACTGAAACCCCACGGGTTGAGTGATGTTGGAGTGCCGGACACATAGACGCGTTGAGTGAGAATAGACACATACTGAACCTCACAGGTGATTTGTGATGGAGATTGCCGGACACCTAGACGTGTTGAGTGAGGATAGCTGCATACTGAAACCTCACAGATGGATTGGTTTTTGAGTTTGCCAGACACATAGCTAGCTAGACGCGCTGGGTGGGGATTGCTACATACTGAAACCTCACGAGTTGAGTGATGTTGGATAGTGCCGGATACATAGACGCTTTGATTGAGGAAAGACACATTCTGAAACCTCACAGGTGATTTGTATTGGAGATTGCCGGACACCTAGACGTATTGAGTGAGGATAGCTGTAGACTATACTGAAACCTCACGAGTTGAGTGATGTTGGATAGTGCCGGATACATAGACGCTTTGATTGAGGAAAGACACATTCTGAAACCTCACAGGTGATTTGTATTGGAGATTGCCGGACACCTAGACGTATTGAGTGAGGATAGCTGTAGACTATACTGAAACCTCACAGATGGATTGGTTTTTGAGTTTGCCAGGCACATAGCGAGACGCGCTGGGTGGGGATAGCTACATACTGAAAACTCACGAGTTGAGTGATGTTGGATAGTGCCGGACAC